GTGAATATTAGGTCATTTTACGCTTTAGACCTGAATTTCGTACATTTTCTAAAAATGGTTAATTTTACCTACTAGGGTCAGGGACAGGATGTCTAAAGTGAACTAAGGTAATTTCAGGCTTTGGAACGGTCGTTTTTGCGCATTTTATACACTTTCTGAACATATGACAACAGCTTCCGCCCCATCTCGTCAGTAACTGACGTGAGGGGGGTACCCCGCGCGTCAATATCAGACGTAGAGGGAACCTTGCAAAACGTCAATATGTGACGAGTTGGGAGTGAGAATGGGTTGCATCCACTGCTGAGCAGCACCTTTGTCAGCAGAGTGATCAAAAGGGCCAATAACAATATATACAGCTACAGAAGTGTGAAGTCACTGACAGACAGATTCTCATCCCCATCATAAACCTAACATCCACCATCCAAACAACATTTACCACACACTCCTCTCTTGGGCCCCTTATCAAACTGGAATGTGTACTCACTTTCTGCACATAACACTGGGCCGTTGTTGCTGTTATTGTTTTATTATTTTAGAGATTTTTGTATTTTTTAGCTACCTTCTTGTTGCTGTTTAAATTATGTTACTGTGTATTGGTCAAAGTGCAAAGTAGAAATTTCATTGCATATTGTAAACCCTTTTACTTCTGGTAATATGGCAATAAAAAATGAGTATGGATATAAAAGTATAATTTAGAAGGTCAGCTTTCTTAAAAATTTTGTCGGCATAAAGGACACATAATGACTCAAAGCATCAGATCAAAGAGAGAAAGAGAAGTGGAATCAAGTTTTCTGCTAGAAAAATAATAAAATTTCACCCATTTAAGGTGGAACATTTCCTAAACACGATTAGAGACTAAAAAATGTCTCTGTGTCAGAAAATATGGAATTTAGAAAATAAAACCTAAATTTAAGGTAAAACAAATTTCACTGGGCCCTGCAATTCAATTGTCACAATTTGGAGTGAACCACAATGCAGACAGGATTGGGGAGCTCCAAAACACACTTTGATTTTTTATTTTAAAACAAAAAGGCCGATGAGGCAACAAAAATGCACAAAATCATCACAAAAATGTCAAGTGGGCTGAAAAAATAAAAACATAAGTGAATGAATTAATCACAAAGAAAATACAGAAAAAAACACCAAGAGAAAATCCATCCATTATCTTCTGCTTTATCTGAAGTCGGGTCACGGGTGCAGCAGCTTGAGCAGGGAAGCCCAGACCTCTCTTTTCCTACCACCTCTTCCAGTTTTTCTGGGAGGACTCCAAGGCATTCCCAGGCCAGCCGAGACATAGTCTTTTCAGTGGGTCCTGAGTCTTCCTCGGGTCACCTCCCTGTCCAACATGCCTGAAGCACCTCCCTAGGGAAGCGTTCAGGAGACATCCTTACCAGATGCCTGAGCTACCTCAATCAGCTCCTCTCAATGTGGAGGAGCAGCAGCTCTACTCTGAGTCTCTCCTAGATAACTGAACTTCTCACCCCATTTTTACAGGAGAGTCCAGCTTCCCTGCAGAGAAAACCCGTCAACCACCTGAATCTGTGATCTTGTTCTTTCGGTCACTACCCAAAGTTTGTGGCCATTGGTGAGGGTGAGGATAGGAATGTAGACCAACCAGTAAACAGAGAGCTTTGCCTTACAGCTCTGCTCCCTCTTCACCACAACAGACCAGTAAAGAGTCCACAAAACTACTTGAATCATCACCCTATCATGGTGGAGGGGTTTGTGCGCCTGAATGATCCTAGGAGCCATGCTGTCAGGAGCTATTTCGATTGCCCCTGGTAGGGTCTCCCATGACAGATTGGTCCTAGGTGACAGACCAGACATGGAATGATTCAATAGACTGGGTTACCAGGGCCCCACCCTGGAGCCAGGCCTGAGGAAGTGGCTTGTCAGCGAGCGCCTTGTGGCCAGGTCTCTACCCATGGGGTCTTTTTGGATTGAGCCCGAATGAGCTACCAAAGCTGGCCCTTGGGACCAAGAGAAAATAAACATGAAAATGAAACTCAAAGAAGAAAATGGACCACTGAAACAAAACACTGATCCTGTACTATGCCACTTATTTGTCTTGTTTTATAGCCTACATTTAAATAAATACATTGGGCCTCATGCAAGAACATGTTCGTATTCTTATCCTAAATTTCTCTTACTTTTGTTCGTACAAAGGGTTCATACGAACATGTCACGTCAGATTCAACAAACTCTTCTATCTTCATGAAAAGGGTGTGAATGAGCTGCGTAAATTCCACCTGTTCATATCCAGCTGCTCGTGCACACGAGAGGAGATTAGCATAATTACCACCCCAAAAACACCATATAAGGCTACAGTATGTGTCCTGCCTCAGATACAAGGAAGTGTCCATTCTTGAAAAATGACAGCGAAAACTAAAAAGAAGAACTTCACGAGTTCAGAGACTGAAGTCCTGCTGTCAGAGATCCAGAAAAGAAAACCTGTCATTTTTAGCAGGTCAGCTGTGGAATAAAATGAGCTGCTAAAAGTATAAAAAACTGTGTGAAAACCTTTTTATTTATTCAGAAGCCACAGCGCTGTGCACCGTACACCCCGCGCCCCACCCCGCGGTCTCAGATGCGGTTCTGATATAAGCATTTTAAAATGTTTTCAAAATATGTCTGGCACTTTGGAGAAAATCCAGGATTCGCTGGAGGGATTATATATCCTCTCTGGCCTGGGAACGTCTCGGAGACACCCAGGACAAGCTGGAAGTTGTCGCTGGGGAGAGGGAAGTCTGGGTCTCTCTACTGCTGCCCCCGCGACCCGATCCCGGATAAACCGGACAATTTATGTTGTCTAAATTATTACATTTAAAATTATAACTCTACTTCAAGCAGAATAGCCTATTGTCAACATAATTATGGAGTGTAATTTATTTTCAACTCAAAATATCTTCAAACTAACGAAATATAAAGTTAATATGGAGGAAAATCCGTCTGGATAACAGCAGACTGACTGCTCGTAAAATACGTATACGACAGGTCTGGACCACTCATGAATTTTGTTCGTATCTGAAAAAAATCTTAGAATACGAAAACATTGGTGAATGCCACAAATTCTCCTAAATCACTCGTACGCACAACTTAAAGGGGACCTATTATGCAAAATTCACTTTTTAAAGTTTTTTTACTCAACTTTGGGTATGTACTTCTTAAAAAAACAGTCCTAGGACCAAAACAATGCACCCAGGGGCATATTTACTGTAAGTAAATATATTTTTAATGTATCTTAATGACAAGTTTTATACTTCCGTCATTTTGTGATGTCACAAGCCGTACGACAACCATCTGAACCTGCGTTCAGCCCCTTACCTAGCAAGCCCCGGGTGAGACGCCACCTCTTCAATATAAAAAGCCGTCACGGTTGTTGTTGTGCAGTGCGCAGCTCATTCCACAACAAGCCTCCAATAGGGCAATGGGTAGAGTGTTGGACCAGAGAGCAGGAGACCAAGGTTCAAAACTGGCATGGACACAATTTAATTATTTATTTTCGTTTGTTATGAACACGTATTCTCATGTACCTCTATTGTTTAGCTTATTAAAGCCTTGTTAAAGCCTATTTGTTCGGGTTTCTGAGGTATTTTGACCACTGCTGCTCCCTGCTCTGGTAACAGCATGCAGAGTGAACGCAGAGCAGAGGAGGGAGAAAAAAAAACTGGGACCACGACTCTGCCTCTGGGTCTCTTATATGGTTGTACAATGGAGCTTCTGCTATTATTAGCCATGCTAATAATAAACGCTGGCTTTGGAGGGCGGAGTTAATGTCAACAGATTTTTGGAGGGCGGAGTTAATGTCAACAGATTTTTGGAGGGCGGAGTTAATGTCAACAGATTTTTGGAGGGCGTTACCAACAGAGCTCATTAACATAAACAGCTCTTCTGAACGGAAGTCAGAGCAGGCAGAGCTAGAAAACGGGAAATTTTGTTATCAGAGAATTATTTTGTGCAAAATTGAATGAACATGGTCTGGATAGCCCACAGACATACCATAAAAATTTCTAGGACCCATAATTGATCTCCTTTAAGAACAAATCTGTGCGTACGAATGGTTCTTGCATGAGGTCCATTGTTATTTTAAGGGAATGTTCAACACAGTTTTAACAAACTTGTTCTTTCAGTGCAATAAATGTTTCCATACTCAAGGAATGCAAGTTTTTAATGATTGTGATTGTCATATTGACCAAAGTAATCAAGATAATGATTTTTTTATTTACTTGAGCAGCATCAGAGGAGGACCATCTTTCACTCATGGTTTGTGCTTTTTCTCCTCTGATAGATACTCCATCGATCCCCAGTCAGACCCCGAGGCTTTGTTCCGTATCTCCTCCGACACGGGTTTTATTAGCGCTGTGATGGAGTTGGACCGTGAGCAGGAGCAATGGCATAACATTACCGTCATTGCCACACAGAGGGGTATGACGAGCAGCATCACTTACTACAATCATATCTCATTGACGTGTAGAACAACCGTTAAAGGTTCAGTGATAATTTGAACATTAGTGTCTGTATTTTATTCTTAGACAACCCAAATCTTGTGTCGAGGACCTTGGTTGGCATAGAGACCATTGACCAGAATGATAATGCTCCGGAGTTGGACAGACAATACACAACATCAGTATGTGACTCCAGTGCCCCCGGTCAGGTCTGTTCAACTTCAGCTTCACTTTTGTTTTCTTTCCTTTGCCTCCAAACTCAAAACCAAGTTTAGAAAAACTTGAACAATTTCTTCTTGTTTTTCTACTTTAAATTTTAAGCTTCTGTGTTTCCTCTCTGTGGATTACATCTTTTAAAAATGATGCTAAATTAAAAACACTTCTGGACTCCAGTGATCCAATTATGAAGTGAGTATTAAAGACAAAGTTTATTCTGAAGCTGTATCTGCTGCTGGAAATATTGGGTTTGCTTTCACAGTAAATCCCTTGTGGCTAACCTCTAGAGCTACCCAGTAAAAACTCCTCACTGGAGAAATAAAATAAAAATGTCAATTCTTTGAATGAGTTTTCCTGCAGAATTGTAACATCTTGTAACATTTTGCAAATATCAGCACCGGAGAATTTTTATTCACTGGATTGTTGCATTACAAGGTTTTAAATGTCAAAAGAAGAATGAAAGGTTCTGTGGATTGACTGGAGTGACTCGCTGCCTCAGCCTCCAGGTAAATATTAAATAGAGTCAGCTGCAAAAAGTAATCTTTCTATTTTGCTGCATTACAGCTTGGAATTCTAAAGGGTTTTCAAACTGATTATGCTGCAAGGAATAATTGTACAAAATTAAATGATTTTTTTCCACATTTAACTTTAACT